GGAAATTAGCAGGATAGCCAAATTTTCTTAGGCCATTTTCGTCTGAAGGAGTCGGCACATACGATTTTTAATATATTATTTAATTCAGCAAAAGAGAATTTAGAATAAGTATGTTATCAAGTTCAGAAACACTAAGTACTGAACTAATGATACCCTCTGAGTACTTTAAGTGTATATAATTATATTATTGTCATTGCATTTTGTGTTAATGTTTGTATCCATTTAAAGTAAATGTTTATTGCAAATAAATATTTTTTCTATTTAATATTATTATACTTCATGTCAAAATGCGATATTTTGATTGGTTAATACGAGGGTGATAATTTACTCATCACATGGGTTATATTCTATTAGCCTTCACGGAAACGCTTAATCAGTTGTGCACTTTATTTCATGCAATATAATGAATTAAATAATACAAATCTGAGATAGTGATAGAGCAGATTGTCTCTCCTCAATGTTCGCTTCGATTGACAGTGTTTTCTCGGAGTAACAATCTGCACTATCAACATTTTTGCTATGTGTTATTTAATTCATAGCGTTGTCAGTTTATTTTCGACTTATAAGTTTGAATGTCCCTTTGGTATCCTTCGCCTCTCTTATAAAGTGTTTGGAGATGTCTGTAGGAGAACGTTTGCTTCGCACTGAAACGGTAAAATCAAATATATTTGCACCATACAGTTAACAATTGTATTTTATATTACTTCTGATGTTTTTGCTACTCCACACGATGATAGACTTTTATCAAGCTGTTACAATTAAGTCTAAAATTCCAACACTGAACAACATTTTTTATTGAAAACAGAAACACCCCAGAACCCATATCTGGTTGCCATATTAATATAGACAAATCTTTTGTATGTGCAGTACCTTGCCGATAACAAATATTGAATTGTTTTTTCATACCCTTTGTTGCTTTTGAAATCAAAATCACGAGCGTTAGTTGTCAGAATCAATTTCTTGAAGATATCCCCTAAACCCTTTCCAATACGCACTAAAATCGCCATGATATTGTGCGAGGTAGCAACTCCCCAACCCTTAGTTGACCTCAGATGAATTTATCTATTAATTGAAGGTTCATTTGGTCATAAAGGTCCTCCCGAAGATAAGTACTAATACCAAGTCGTCCTTTGTATTCACATTTTTGGTATCTAATGCATTCATCTACATAATTCATAACAGATTAAGGTCAACAAGATTTTTTCGTATTTAAGAACTGATTGTCACTTCAACGTTTCCTAAGGAAGAAACACTAACTTCTGAAGAAGAATACGTTCATTTGTTCAAATTCAATACAAGAATTATCTGTTTAAGATCTGTTGAACCTTCATTCTATTACTCTTTGATAAAATGGATAGTTTAAAGTAAATGGTTAATTGTGAAGACATATCAGGTGGTTTTTAGAAGCCTATATAAACTTATAATGAACTGATGTCAAAACATGACTTGTTTCGTCTTATTTCAACGGAGTATGCTTATAATACAAACGCTTCTTGCTCCAGTGTGGATATGAGGTAGACTGAAATTGACCTTGAACAAGTTTTACGGACATCATGAAGTTTTGTGTGTGTCCCTGTCCACGAAACATGTTGTTATGGTTTAGAATTTGAAATACTAGAATTGTATTATGATATTATATTAACTGATCGTGTCCTATTACCTATCTTGACATTTTGACTAAGGTTACCAGTTTCTGTGCTACCGGTCTGGTACATTGTAGAGTTGATGAGATTATAAAATAAGAATATAACAAAATATAAAGAGGGCTAACAAAATAACAGGAACCGAACAAAGACTGAAAAACCTTGATAAATTATAGAATGGTTATAATTTTTTCTTATAAGGAACATGTAGATATTAGTTGCTCTTTAAAATTTCACTTTCTCACTGCCTATAGAAGATAAACAAAACGAAATGTATTGATACATCATCAAAAAATATATTCTTAAGTTAGTAAAGAGTTAATTTGTTTCGGGAAAACCGTTCCATTGCTTCAAGGTTAGTACAGCTATTGATTACAGTATGTGTTTGACCTGTCAATAGAAAGTATAGACACGAGTATGCATTATAATCATCATACTTTATTTCGCCCTATTTGACATTGACAAAAGACATCATGCATAAATTATGTGGAAATATAGTTTTCGACTCATAAAACGAGAAGTGTCATTATATAATTGGAAAATGAATGATATTTACTGTGTGCAGTATTTTAGAATAGAAAATCCCTCGTTAGGGACTTACAAACAATGTTCTGAAATCAATCCAGGAGCAGATTGCCTTGAAATGCTCTCGTCTAATTGTAAAGCAGTCTGCAAATGTAATTGTCACTTATGAATTTAGTTAATCGATCATAGAGTTATTGAGTTTGGTATTATCATGTGAACAGACTTACTATTTGATGGTTAAGAGTATCCTGAACAATGTGTCCACACAATTTACTGTTTCCGCTTCTGGAAGGAGTCGTCCAAAGGTTAGGTTCATGCTTTGCTGTTAAAGGTCTGCCAGTAATTGTAGAATATTGTCACTTGACATCATTATCATCGACCGTAGTTAAACAGAAAAAAACTATTAAATTCGTCATCTATTCGCATTCGTTTTTCCTTTTGAAGTCTCTCATGTAAGGTATTTGCACCATTGATTATGTTTTTCTACTGAAATTGGCCGGAAAGTGACTAATATTATATATTATATTTCAATATTTGGGGTTTGAGCGTTCATGGTGAAAGTAAATTAAGAAAAGAGTTATTGTCATATTCTACAATTTAAGTTGTTCAATGTTTTGGTACTGCTTATTGCAATTGTGTCAATAATATTTAACGCGATTTGAGACCGTGACGGTGTATTTGTATAAATTGTAATGAAATACATTGAAAGTGAATACTCATTTTATATTTATTTATATTTAATTTTCAAGTCAATAAATTTATATCTGTAAAAAACATTTTTTGATGGGATGTCATCAAAGTAAACAAACGTCACCACGACATCATATGAAATCATCTATTTCAATCATTACGTAAAGTAAGATAAGGAAAAACGCTGTATGTAGGACAACATACAAATGATACCGGTTATTTCTAACAATCATTGTTTTCAAAAGAACACTACCAAACGCGAACACTTATTGAAATGTCATTGACGATAATCTGACGACTGTGAATCTTGCAGCTGACTTACACCCAGTGTGCCTGAACTGTTGATGCTGAACACGATGAAATTTGATACGATGTTTATTGTCATATCACTCATATTTAAAGAAGTTCCAATATTTTCTTTTCATTATTTAAACGCTCTACCGTGTCCTTAAAGTACTCGTACAACCGTGATACAACCCTATTCGCATTACTATCACATGCAACTTTCATAAGACTGTTGATAACGTCACCAATCTTCGTTTGATCCTCGGATTGATCTCTGATGATACTTTCCTCATGTGTTTGCCATATATATATTAATTCATCTGCATATTTGTCTGAATTTTTACCAGCAAGATTTTTCATGATGTCATAGATGTTGAAATATTGTTTATCGATGACTTTAACCCGCCATTCAAATCTGTCTCTATGTATCCCCAAAAATCCGAAGAAATTGTTCATGACAAATATATGTACATAACTTTTTATCCTTTCGCCAAACTTTGCTACTACCCATTTCATTGTCTTTTCATTCATATTTTGAAAAGCAGTTTGAAATAAACATTCGTGATCATCATACTCAACGTGAATTTGCTGTTTTTCAATAACAGTTAGTACTTCATCAAGTAAGTCTGTGTCATCCCATGCGCATCTCTTACAAAGAACATACACTATAGTTTTGTGACACGCCTCTTTTATTTTTTCGCTTAACGTAGACTGACTGACAGATAAATCAATATGCCTTATCAAAATGTAAATTATACTCTTTCCGTTGGGTTTATTACTGATTAACTGTAATAAATTCGCTGGTAAAAAGAAATGTACGCTTTGCACCCGAAATGGGATTAAAACATCACTAGGCAAATAAAGTGTACTACTTTTATCCAACAAAATATTAAGAAAATCGATATCGTCTAGTAGGCTAGAGCATGCAATCATGTGCATTGGTTTGTGTATTGCTTTTTCTTCAGAAAGAGTGCTTAGCAGACAAGATATTATCCGTACTGCCAATGGCTCGTATAAATCCCTTTTGACTACAAATCCAGGTTTCAAGACACAGTTTGGTAACGAATAAGGTTTAAGTTGTGTTGTTATAAATCCAATATCAAGGAGACCAATGCTTGATAGAAAATCTGATTCGAAGTAAGCGCTAACAAAAAGATCGAATATGAGAGAATTTCGGAAGCTATACATTTCAAGAGGACATGCAGAAGAGTAGAAGAAAGCCAACTGCTTTCTAAGATATGCATTAATTTCCTTCATTTTTTTAAATTCATTTAGAATTTCAATAACATTTATATCATTATAAAGTTTATCTGAAGTGGACAAGACATGGTTTTTGATATCTGATTGACTTACTAGTCTTCTTTCCATCATGAGAAATGAGAAAATCAAGTAATGAATTTTTGAAGGTTTTTCTGTTTTCTTTTTCAAATTTCGAAGATTATTAAGTATGCACATGCATGGCGAACGGAAGAAATCTGAGCCAAATGAATACAAAGTTGGGACGTTAGTAAACAGAAAAATAGCTCTGGGTAACCAATATTTATGCAACTGTCGTCAATCGTTGCTATATGTTTTACTGTTGCCTCATTTAAACGTTCAGTGGATTGACATGATGATTCATCAGCAAAAGTAGGCATAGCATCTATGTACGTTCGCAGAAGTTCTTCTTTTTCACTATTTTTTAGTTTGTATTTACTTGAATCTAAGTCTAGTATGGATATGTTGCTGAATATTGTATTTCTTTCAGTTACCTCGTCTAATTCTGTAATTACACAAACGGCTTTTATACAACCGTTCTCAACCAAACGCTGAATAAATTCGAAAATCTGGATAACAACGTCAACAGGTAAACCGGCGTCAGTACATAATAAAACATCAAACAACAGGACAACTTTTGTTGCTCCTTTTATTATGTCAAATGGCATACGAGGGTTTACAAATGACATTTCATTTTCCCAAATATTGATTTTGCATTCTTCAAATGTATAAGGCAATCTCTGAATATCGTAATCGGCATGTCGCTGACAGTAATATCGTATTATTTCTAACGCATTTGTACTTTTACCTGTGCCTACTCCCCCAGTCAATATTACTAAACCCTTTTCTTCTAAAACTTGTAGTCCATCTGAAATAACCTTTGGTTCGAGAAATGGTTCGTTATATTTTTCAGTTGTTATCCGTTTTTTCTCTGGTAATACGTCTGAAAAAATACACATTTCTAATTATTCTTCGCTATTCAAACTATGCATTAATCATTTCATCGACTATTGTAATAACATTTCAATATTTATTGAGAATAATGATTTGTATACTTATAGGGAAAATATAGGTCAGTATACCTATAACTAGATAATTATAGTTATGTTTTACTGTAATGTTAAAATCATTATCTAAGTAGAATTAAATTCAATTTTAACCTTAAATAAAGCTTACTTTGCCTGCCCCGTAATTTAGGATTTAATCGATATAGTTCTGATTGCGCATGTTGAAGTCTTTTAACATCCTCTCGCAAATATAGAATTTCAGCTTCAGCATTCCGTATTTCTAATATTGAATTCTTGTGAAAGATATCAAGCGATGCAAATTCCCATTTTGCACAATTGTGTTGTAGATTTCCCCTCCTAGTCTTTTAATGGCCTATAAAATACATGATACCAACCAAACATTTTACTAATATTTGAGTTAGTTGAAAGATTTAAGATTATTTGTATATAAAAAGAACATTATTTGTCATACAGAACATTTTAAAATCAGCAAAATGTCCAGTTGAAAAGACAAGACACTCTCAAAAGAATACACTAATGAGAATAATTCAAGCTATCGTGCACTTGGAGAAGCACATATATTTAACGTTTCATTTGATACGTACGATATTTTTCACATTGACTATCAAGAACTGCAGTTTAATCATCAGGATGGACTAACTCAAATTACCAATAATATCAATCAAAGATATGAAAAATAAATTCTATGCGACTGTCATACAAGTGGGAGGTGAATCTAGCTATATAACCAGGTTTAATCCACCATTTTTTACATAAGGAAATGCCTGTACCAAATCAGGAATATGACAGTTGTATTCCATTCGTTTGATGTGTTTTTTCTTTTGATTTTGCCATTTGTTAAGGGACTTTCCGTTTTGAATATTTCTTGGAGTTTGATATTTTTTTTATTTTACTTTTTTCATTAGTGAAAGAACTACTTAACCAATTGAAACGTTTGCTTTGCTTTAGTCCGGCTCAAACCTTTTTGTCAAAATACTAGTATGGTATATTCATTGCTAGCTTAGTAAAAATATTTATAAAGTGTTGATTTCATTTAGTGAAATATAAACGTATGCACTTTATGAATATTCGCGTATAATTACAGCTTTTTGCTGTTCCAGCGTATCGATAAACCTGAAGATCATAAACAGAATTTTCTGAAAATTAAATATATTAACAGAGGTATTGATTTCATCAACTTATCGAGTATATTTAATGACTCATTCAAATCTTTATATCACCTTATTTTGATAACACAGAACCACCTATTATTTCGTAAACATACAAAAAAAAACCAGCAGAATTTTAATTTTTAATTATACGTCAGTAACATCAGACGTCAGTGTAGAAAATAATACTCCTCCAACTTGAAACTGTGAATTGTCGAATTTTAGATATGATCTCTATGGCCATGCTATTATGGGGGACCTCAAGACCGAAAGGTTAAAAACATTTTAAAAAAAGGACCAAAATATCGTCCTCCATCTAAAATAGATTGGAAACAGTGTCGTCAGGTCACAAAAGACGCTCTTTGATCGTATTGTAAAAATTGGTGTAAACGGGAAAAATCTTATTAAAAAAAATCTTGATTCTTATTTAAATAAATGTATGAATGTTGTGGATATTCGAATATCACATTTTGAAAATAATTTAGAAATAAATAAGTACATAATACGCCTATTTCTGGAATAAGAAACAAAACTAGACGTTTAGTATGACGTCCATTATCACTGAACTAGTATACATATTTGTTTAGGGGCCAGCTGAAGGACGCCTCCGGGTGCGGGGGTTTCTCGCTGCATTGAAGACCCATTGATGGCCTTCGGCTGTTGTCTGCTCTATAGTCGGGTTGTTGTCTCTTTGACACATTCCCCATTTCCATTCTCAATTTTATTCAAGTACTCGCAAAGCGGTTTGTGTTTGTACCAGCCGACAAAGCAGCCAACAATGTGGTGGTGGTATGTCGTAGATACTACACGGACGTTCTTAAGCATGAAATTTTAAATTCTTCTACATTCAAGTACGTGTGCTCCACAGAGTCATATAGTAAACAATCATATCATAACCACATCACAGCTTCAGGGCTCTTCTGAACGTTTGAAGGTACCAACTATGTACTGGTGACCTAAACTACACAAAAAAAAAAACAGTAAAATATCGTTTCATCTCTGCCTCTAGTAAGTGTTCTACAACTAATCTTTCGGCGCTTTTAACTAGTTCTTTAACAACTTTCAAAGAACTTATCATTAACTTTTGTAATAAAACATATGAAAATAGTGGAATTGACTATTTTTGGAGTGCAAAAATTTATTTGGATGTTTTAGATAAATTACGTGCCTTTAATGGTCCTTTTGATTCTGTTGACAGTTTTGACTTTTCAACTCTTTACGCTAAACTTCCACACAATCTTATCAGACAAAGTTTTCCTATTTAATTAAATGGTCGTTTGGTAAATCTGAATGCAAATATATTTGCTGCAACTCATTCAAAGCCTTCTTCTCTAATGAGAAAGGTAAATATGCTAGATATACTTACTGGAGGTGTGATGAGATGATTGAAGCTGTTAATTATCCCCTTGATGATATTTATGTACGTTTCGGCAATAAAGTTTATCGACTGGTTTTAGGTATTCCTATGGGCACCAATTGCGCTCCTTTAATAGCAGACTTGTTCTTGTACTGTCTAAATTGCATTTAATTGATAAATTCGACAACACTTATCGTTATCTTGATGATATTTTTTCGTTAAATAATCAAGAATTTTCTAAATATACTGCCGAAATTTACCCAAAAAGGAACCAACTTTAATAAATCAAATATATATAAACGGTAATAACTGTCCTTTCCTAGATTAAGATATTTCAGTTTATCACGGGAAACTCTACACTAAAATGTACGACAAAAGGGACGATTTTTCGTTCCCTATTGTTAATTTTCCTTTTTTGGACGGTGATACTCCTTGTGCACCATCTTACGTTGTTTATATATCACAACTCTTTCGCTTTGCCCGTGTCTGTTGTGACGTTTTGGATTTCAATGAACGTAATCTATGTATTACTGATAAATTATTATGTCATGGATTTTGTTACCACAAATTACTTAAAACCTTTACTAAATTCTTCCATACGTATAAAGATTTGGTTTGGAAGTTTGGTTGTACCTGTAGAAAACTTATTTTTAACGGGATAGCACATCCTAATTTTCCCGGAGATGTTGTTTGCCGAGCCCGGAAATTTAGATACGATCCGGGTAAACTTATCGATCCTTTAAATAAACTTATTCTAAAAGGTTACCGATTCAACACTATAATAAGATCTTTGAATATTGTTTTATTGGTATTAATATTGATTTTGTTATCAGTAAATTAAAATCAAACTAAATATTATTTTTATATATATATGCACATTCATGGCTCTACAATCTCTCGATACCTGTATCTTGGAATTGCACAAGTTCATGTTTTTCTCTGACTGTTAATGACGTCTTTACACTAAATACATTGGATGTTGGATGTGTACTGATTGATAGTTTAGTCTTAGATGCATGATTTTTTTATTAGTTGTTATTGGCTTTGAACTAGCTTTCAGTAACTGCGAGTACTCTCAGATCTGAACGTAGTGTCTTTTTGTTGTGTGGATGTATAAGTAACCTGCCACGTCCACTCTGTATTTTTGTTAGATGTATTTCTGCTTTGTATCAATCTGATGGTTTAAGCAATTTTCAACTGATTTTTATAGTTGTCCTTATGTTGTACTGTTACACCACTGTCCCAGGTTAGGGGAGGGTTGGCGCGCCTTCAAACTAGTTTATCCCCGCCACATTATATATGTGCCTGTCCCAAGTCAGGAGCCTGTAATTGAGTGGTTATCGTTTTCTGTTGTTTTCATATTTGTTTTTTGTTTATTGTTTTGCATTGTTTTTTTGTATTGTGCCATTGCACAACTGTCCCAGGTTAGGGGGAGGGTTTGGCGCCAACACACTAGTTACCCCCGCCACATTCTGTATGTGCCTGTCCCAAGTCAGGAGCCTGTAATTCAGTGGTTGTCGTCTGTTGCTGTATATCATATTTGTTTTTCGTTCATTATTTTGTATATAAATCAGGCCGTTAGTTTTCTCGTTTGAATTGATTTACATTTGTCATTTCGGGGCCTTTTATAGCTGACTATGCGGTATGGGTTTTACTCATTGTTGAAGGCCGTATGGTGACCTATAGTTGTTAATTTCTGTGTCATTTGGTCTCTTGTGGAGAGTTGTTTCATTGGCAATCATACCACGTCTTCTTATTTTTATATATACTCTACTGATGTCGCAAAAATCAATCAGGTTTGGCAACGGCCTATGTTAAGTACTGTAAGCGTATGATTGCAGTCACACGAACGTGGGAAATAAAATAATGTAGTTAAATTTCCCAAATAGTCACATATGGCAAAATCCTAGGTTCTTTTTTCGTATGATTTGTACCACGTGACTTTGGTCCTTTTGATTACATTACTTCCCTAAGTTTAAGTTTGAAAATATAAATCATATCGAATTTGCGGATAATCCAGTCTTTTTCCGTCTTGGATCTAAAACTTACGTGTCTTTGAAAACTTCCTTTGGCGGATATTTACAAATATGATGTGTAATTCAAAGAGAAAATGCTTAAAATTTGACTATTTACGAAAGGGGAAGGATGAAATCATCATGTTTTTAACAAAATTGGCAGAAAACTTAAGAAAGCATTAAGATAAAAATTTTTTTAAACTGAAAATTCAACCTGCAAGGTGTTTCCCTACATGCGAACAAATCATGAACAATCTCTTCTTGTATCCTTATTTCTATTTTTAATCTTGCTTTTTTACGATTTTTCGTTATTCTATATAAAATGTAGCAATTATACTACGGTTACGCTTCGGATTTTGAAATTGAAAAGGCCAAAACGTTTCAAAGTAGACAATGTTCATTTGTTCACGAACAGAATGCAATTTAAACAACATGTACAATTCAACTATATGCGAACAAATTGCTGATTCGACTTAGGAATTGGCATATTTGCATTTTTATTTTAGGGACCTGTATAATCTTATTGTAATGGCTGTCGTCATGATAATGCAATATGGTCGCTATGCAAATTAGCAAAGTACCCCAACTTTTGCCATATGAGTCATCATCTCTTCACATCCAAATATGCAGCGTTTTTATGTGTAACCCTTAAACGTTTAGAAGGCTAATTTTTTATAATTATGAGGTCCCTGAAAGGCATAACCAAAGCTAGACTAGGTATCGATACAAGAATTCAAAAAAGTAACTGTCAATTCTCATGGCGGCACACCAGCTCTTGCTCTTGCTCCTATTAGAGTTCAAGCTATTCCATCCGGTTTTTTTACATTGATTTATATATCTACTTAATGGATTTATGAGATTTGAACATCGGTAAACTACAGGTGTCTCTAATTTACAGTATAGAATTCGAAATTCAATGAAAATTACCTCGCATAAGTCACTCCATGCAGCAGCGTATTCATCTGGACCGATCTCAATTAATGCAGAATGGAAATACGTATTTCTGTAATATTTAATTCTACTAAGATCAGCTTCTACACTTGTGTCTGTCTTCAAAGGTAATCTTTCTGATATACTTAATCCAGCAAGATGGTGCAGTAGAAGTATCATTAGAGATATATCAAATGATTCTGATGATGGATTACCTTTGGAAAGAAATATGTATAGTATATCTATAATACTAACGGAACAGTTTGCCGATTTTCCAGGAAAAAACACTGTAGAGATGTAGTTTAGAATGTTAGCTTTATTTAAGGGGGTTATAACATGTATAAATACAAACATTTCATACACTACGTGCAATATGACACATATAAAGAAAACAAGTGAAAGAAGGATGTGACTAAAAATATATTTTTTATTGTGATTAGGGTTCTGTCTCCTTAAAGTATATTGAAGACAATTTAGAAAACGGTTTTTACAATTAAACCTAAGTATGTTTGTTTTATCTGCTTGAAATGTCCAGCAAAAATGAAACGCTCCACGTAACTCCTTCATTGGTTAGGAATGAAATATGTAAATATAAGTACACTTCACCTGTAGTGAAATAAACATGAAAAACTCTTGCACTAGATCATTTCAATTCCTGAATTAATGTAGTTGTGTCCTTGTTCCTGTATTTTATGAGAGATATTTAAAAATTGTTTGTATAACGAATATCCTCCGTTATCACAGACATATGTCTCACCGTTATAAATGTATACTGCTTGAGGATTACAAATATTCATGCAAATTAATCCGATTTGCCGTCCCATATGAACAAAATACACAGTCATGCCCTATCGTATTGAATTTGAGGATCTTCGCCTGACAGAGTACATACAAAATATTTTTTCAACTTGAAAAATGGACCAAAGGATTTTCGCAACGAAATTAGTACATGTCTTAAAATGATACATAGTTTACATTTGAAAGAATGTTGACTTTTTATTTTGAATGTTCTCTCGTCTTCTCTCAAATTAAACGCTTAAACTTGCGAAGTTTTATCTATTTATAAACCCTCATAATCCAAATAAAAAATCAGTTATATGACACAATGCCCTAGAGAAATCCAAAGTACCCAAAAATGAAGCTAAAGTGCATTAATTGAACGTTATATATATAAAAAACAAAAAATATAAACAAGTCTAAATTGAAAACAACGTTCAAACCTATGATTGCGTTGTATAAAAACCACAATTTTTATACGTGTGCTTGCAGAACAAATTTCTTGGTAGAGGGTTCTAAATACAGCACAAACAACCTTTTCCAAAAGACCAAATGAGTGAAAAAGTATATTTTAACAAAACGCATTTGACTAGCAGGTCGAACAACTGATGTTCTTAAACCCTGCTGACTGCCATTGGCGATTGCCAAATAAACGGATCACAAGATGTAACAAAATAGATCTTATTATTTATTTATTACCAAACAGAAAACAATAAACTTGCGGAAAAGATGGTAGTTTCAAAAATTTGTACACCATATCCGGATTTCGACAATTAATGTCTCTTCAGTGATGTTAGGAATCGAAACGGTATTTGGAAGGCCATATAATTTACCTCAATTTAGGTTAGACTCTTGAATTTTGAAAGAGTCAAAATAGGATGAACGGATCATATAAACCCGAAGGCAAATATAATGCAAGCCCAAACGAAAAATATAAACAAGTCTAAATTGAAAACAACGTTCAAACCTATGATTGCGTTGGATAAAAACCGCAATTTTTATACGTGTGCTTACAAAACCAATTTCTTGGAAGAGGGTTCTAAATACAGCACAAACAACATTTTCCAAAAGACCAAATGAGTGAAAAAGTATATTTTAACAAAACGCATTTGACTAGCAGGTCGAACAACTGATGTTCTTAAACCCTGCTGACTGCCATTGGCGATTGCCAAATAAACGGATCACAAGATGTAACAAAATAGATCTTATTATTAATTTATTACCAAACAGAAAACAATCCGGATTTCGACAATTAATGTCTCTTCAGTGATGTTAGGAATCGAATCGGTATTTTGAAGGCCATATAATTTACCTCAATTTAGGATAGACTCTTGAATTTTTAAAGAGTCAAAATAGGATGAACGGATCATATAAACCCGAAGGCAAATATAACACAAGCCCAAACGAAAAATATAAACAAGTCTAAATTGAAAACAACGTTCAAACCTATGATTGCGTTGGACAAATACCGCAATTTTTATACGTGTGCTTGCAAAACCAATTTCTTGGTAGAGGGGTCTAAATACTAAAACACAAACAATATATACAAATTGAAATTGAAAACGTAACGCGATACATATATACATGTATGTATTTATTAACTTAGGAAATTATGTTTTGAAAGTGTTTCTTACCGTTGTTTTGTTTTAAAGTGTGCACCTGAGGTTGACTCATAATTCTTTTCCTTTGCAGGTCACTAAGTAAATCGTAGCTTTTCCGTATGGTTCCTTTCAAAGCGCTCGGGTGGAATTCTTTGTTGAATTGCGTACGAACTGCCCTTGGGCATACATCTATCAACAACATAAACACTCTAACAAAATGTTCTTCTCTTTCTGTAAACAATGGCATGCTTGGAAGGGCCAGTTCAAGTTTCAATCAGTTGTTTCTGAAATATGAGCTAAATAAAATAACTCTTTTTCATATTAATGAAAGGTATGTGGGGTAAATATTCATGTTGCAGAAACTCAATGAAACATAAACCAAAATACACTGAGATAATTCCATGCAAAAATTCCCATTGATTGTATATAACAAACTGAATATGTAACCATCGACTTTTAACATGTTTAAGACATCTCTGCGTTAAGTGCGAACAAAGAAGAAGTAATCTATGTATGATTTGACATTTTATTGTAATCAGTTATAATTTCAACAGTAAAAATTAATAAAAACACATGCTTTGTCAGTTAGACAACAATGAAACCCAGGAAAGGCATATAATCAAAGAGCTGAAAGCTCTGAGGAAAAATGACGCCACTGTCTCTAATATTGTGATATTTTTTATGCAAGTGTTGATTTTCACATACCGTAATAAGTTTAATATTGCAACATGTCTTGTAAGCATATAATTGATATTCGTATATGTGTCTGTTTTTTTCAGTACAAATGAATAGGTCAAGACTACCTGAATGACCTACAGTATCCAATTACTACTGGCTGTTTTTTTGTATAAATAAATAGGGCAAGACTACCGGAATGATCTACAATATCCAATGACTACTGGCTGTTCTTTTGTACTAATAAAAAGGTCAAGACTATTTGAATGATCTACAATATCCAATGACTACTGGCTGTTCTTTTGTACATATAAATAAAGACTACCTGAATGATCTAAAGTATTCTAAGTAATGTGATTTTTTTCTTGCAATTACATTTTTCTAAATCAAGAATATAGACTACTAGTATCCTTTTCAAACCAAATGATTATGAAGAGCCTGTTGTTAGCAAGCTCTTATACCCCACATACTCATTAAATAAATTACTAGTGACCTAGTTATTTCTGTTACTTGAAGCAAATTATATTTCTGTATATTTAGACAATAGTATAATATTGTTTTACTGGTTTTATTTCACCTTGAAGATTAGACAAATAGGGATACTCCTCCGATTTTTTATTACATGTCAGTCAGGTCACTTTATATGAAACTTGAAACCACTTCTCTGCCATAATGTTATTTTATAACAACTCTGCCCTTGACCATGTTGACCCATGTAATTGATATTCATTCTTTAACCATATATCATAGTCAGTTAGTTTTTTATTTTGCACTCCCACACCACCTTTCATGTCTTTCAGGTCAAATGTCTGTCTCCATTTAAGTTAATGACATTGAACAATCATGGTATTAAACACAATTTCAATAGTGATAATGCTGTTCTCGTGGGTCACCATATATTCAACTTGGGTAGCATTCCAGTTATTGAAATTTGTGTCAGATTAGAACAATGATCTAGATCTTTAGGAATGGATCTTATAATTTAATATTGAGCCATAGTATGGGACCCCTACACGGTAACAAAAAAAAAACAAGCTTGAAAGGATACAATGTCAAGCGGCAAAATCAGCTATCACCAGAAATTACAAGTCAAAAGAGGATGGACGGGATACGTCTCTAAAATGCTTGCTGAACTGGAACTACAGCAAGATCTCCAGACAAGACGAACAGAGCGTTGAAGCCAGAAGTTAATATTTATGTAAAAAGTAGTTGAGGGGCTGATTCCCGCTAATACTGTCATTCTATAATATCATTGCGTAAGTATTTCTGTACTGGCCTTGTTATTGGTCCATGTCTTGGGTGTATTGGTCTGAGGCGAAGCGGAAGGCCAATACTGCTGGCCGAGGACCAATAATAAGGCCAATACAGAAATACACGTAATAGTATCTTTATTAATTAACTTCAGTGTTACAATATTTTTTTTATTTCATTTCACAAGAGATAAACATTTTTACCTTGAAGTGGAACTATCCAAATCTCAGTTTCCTTTTATAAGATGCAATATCTAATGATTCGGTGCTGTTTGACTGCTGGCCGAGAACCAATAATAAGACCAATACAGAAATACACGTAATAGTATCTTTATTAATTAACTACAGTGTTACAATATTTTTTTTATTTCATTTCACAAGAGATAACCATTTTTACCTTGAAGTGGAACTATCCAAATCTCAGTTTCTTTTTTAGAAGATGCAATATCTAATGATTCGGTGCCGTTTGAAGTATCTTCAGCCTTTTCTCATCTGATGAATTTTTCTACCCTTTCCAGTCACTATAAAGTGTTACAACTTTAATTTAGACACAACACATAAATAGTAATTGGAAAGGTACTGCCATTGCATGTGTAATGCAAATATATTTAAAAAAAAAAATAACGTAAGAGTTGAAATTGATACAACTATCCATAAGCCAATTGACCAAAGAACGAAGATTTGCACAATTACAGAATGCATATGCCTGGTTCGGTTTTAAAAATAAACGACCGTTTAAATACAAAACACGAGAAGCGACAGTAAACAGTAAAAATCGATTTGTACCATCGACATGATGAAATTATGAGGTCGTCAAGAAATCAACTTTGTGATAATTTACTCGTTCCCCAAACCTGAAATAATCCCATCGTCTACTTTCAAAATGCTTTTTAAATGAATGGGACCG